GGTCTCACTAGTTATGTTTTTTTTTTTGTTTTTTTTTCACGACTGCCTTCCACCCTGATTGTGCGACACATGATATTGAAAGTCGCTTGAAATATTGATTCTATAAGGGCCATCCGTGTACTCGGGCGCTCTTTTCACCTCACCAGTAAGACAATTCGGGCACTACTAGCTCGACCCGATTAATCAATCGGCTGGCCGATTCTTGCTGCTGTTGGAATCAATGCTGCGAGCGCTTTTCCATGAATCTGTTTTGCGCATTTATTCCCCTCCTTGAGAGTCATCGACTAGTATGCTCTATTGACATCTGTGGCATCCCAAGAGGACGACGACATGTTACTCGTGAGGCAAAACTGTGCACTCGTTGTGTCAGCTTGTGCGGTTTCGCTCTCGGGGAGCATGCGCTTGTTCTGCTTGGTCATGTTATCGTCGTGGAAGGACGAAAGGAAGGAAAGAAACATCACAAATGAGACGCAGCCATTCCGCCCCATGTGTTGAATCGTCTTCCTCACAAGGGGGCAAAGTGTGTACAGTACTAGTATATGGACAGCTGAGCACACTGTGTTGTTGGGGTTCCAAACACTTTCACACTTTGTTTTCCTTGAAAATGTCAGAACGAGAGAGAGAGAGAGAGAGAGGAAAAAAAAAAATGAACGGTTTGGATTGTACCTGTTTGGCCTCTGCTCGCTTTCCTGTTCAACGCACTGGAAGCTCAACAGATGTGAGTGAAATGTAATCTGTAATATTCTTGTCGAAGCGTAACATAGAATCAATAGTCAATAACCTGACACACTGAATGAGGTTTGAACTAGTGCAGCTACTTTTATACTCTCCTCATGTGCACTATTTAGCACCACACACACAATATGCGCATTTAGCGAAGTTGATTTAATAAAAATCCAAATGTGCTTTGGGCTTCCAGTGCGTTCCCCCCCGACACTCACGTGTCTTTTTCGGGTCGCGACATGTCTTACCTTTCCGCTCACCGCAAGTTTCTGTTGCTCCAGTTGTAGACTCGTCAGCCAATCAGCAGTCAGCGTTTGTCGCGTCGAAGCGACCACTCCAGTTCGGTTTTGTGTGTTTGTTTGTTTGTTTGTTTGTTTTTTTTTTTTTGGCGCAAAGGGCTCAGCACATACTGATGCTGTGTTTTAATGTTATTTATTTCGCAAGCTATGCAGTAATGTGTTGCATTATTTATTATGAAGACGTCTTTTTTTTTTAAAGGGGGTGGGAGGGACTGAGCAAGACTGAAAAACGTAGTTACCAAGATGCCTCCTCCTCCTGCTCCTGGTCCTTTTTTTCCTTCTTTATTCTTTTTCTTTTCTGTTGTCAACGCTACCAACTTCAATTTTTTACAGCTTCCAAACTGCTGGTGTTGGTGTCAGGCTGGGTTGTCATCGTGGCAAAACGTTCCTGTAACCTGCATGCATGCGTACGGGCCTCTTTGTCACGCCGGCATCACGCCACTATCGCAGGTGTCACCGTGTCTGTCGTTGTGGACTCGTGCGCTCAAGCAGCACTTTTCACATTTGGAATTTTACAAATCGACACGTTCCACACGATCTCATCTCATATTTTTTTGATGAGGGCAGTCCTCACTTGGTTCAGGTTATTGGTTCCACATCATTTCACCCGAGTCATCTTGTCACTACTGTTATTTTTGACTATGCACTTTTTTTTAACTGTTTTTTTTTTGGTTTGTTTTGTTCTTGTCACATGCTTATTTGTTTTTTTAAATGGCCACAGAAGTGTCAAACTGATTGATGAATGTTTGCAAGGGGATATACGTGCGTGCATGCGTGTGCGCATCGACTTCTTCCGGTGTTGCTGTCAAAGAAGAAACGTGATGAAAAGTGATAAGCTTGCAGGTCGCAGCATCCTTTAGTCTGTCAGTAGGCAAACAAAATTAGAAGATAAAAAACATCCACATACAGTATTTCTAAAGTATTTATACTGTGTGTATACTGTGTATTTATAAACACACACACGCAATTTATCGATTGATCTATTACTTTTTTCAATGATCTGTAATTGATTAATCTGAATTTTAAAAAAAATCTAATTTTTTTCACTTTAGTAAAAAATCTGACATTTCAAATTGACAGTGCAGCAAATGAAAACACAAACGAATTGTGACTTAGTTACGGGTTTGGTCCACAGAATAGTGAAAAATGTGATCCTTGCTTTCCAAAGTAAAATCAGATGTTGGCAAATGTCTCATTTTGATTCAACATGATAAAGGGGCACTTTTCCTAAAGGACTACAGGAAATTCAGAGTGCTTACTGTTGAGGGGCCACAATGGTTGATAATTACTAGTCAAACTTTCAATTATTTTTTTTTAAATAGTCGTTAATTTAATTGATTGGTTGCTGATTAGTTAGTTAATTGCTGCATCTGTAAGAGTACCTTGCTAGCACTGAAACAGGAAGAGATGGCAAGTTAAAATCATTTGTAATCTGGGCAAATCCTCTTTGGAAATGTTTGTAACTTCTTTCCTGAAATAAATGTTCATATTGGATGAATTCTGCCTGCCAGATTTAATTTAAAATGTTCTCGTTTAAAAACTATAAAGCACAGCCTTAAAGTAGTACTGCGCATGCGCGGCATCCCTACGACTCGCCGTAGAAAGCGCAAGTGTTCGGAAAGGAAACATGTCATATATGGTAACTAACCCTTTTTCATTTTCATAAAAACATATTCTACTTTGGGGTCGGCACTGTATTCTGTCTCCTGTATGTGATAGCAGTCAAGAAATTACTCTCCACTTAGCGGAAGTGCTGCTACACAAGATAACTGTTAACATTAGCCAGGTGGCTAACCCTTGACTCAGTCCAACCAATAGATTAATGCTAACCGTTAGTAGCCAGTATCGGTGGTCAGTTTCAGCACTGAGCGGCAAATAATTGCGAGTGTTTTCGAAGGCAACGAACTCGCATTTTCGACCTTCTCCTACGGAGGGGCCGTTGGAGAAGGTAGAAAATGCGGAATAGGAACTTTCCTAAATGGTGACGTCACTCATGTTGTGTTTGACACATGTCATGCGTCTTTTATTTCTTTCTTTCTTTACTTTGCCCCAAATGTGACTTATGTTGAACCTGGTTTGCAGGTGTCGCTGTGCTCCACAGCTTCGTGGCTTCTGCCGACCGCTGCCGCCTGCGCGGCCGCCAAGAGAAGCGCGCAGCCGGCCATGAGCATCGACGAGGTGACCTCCACCGACTAATTCTGTGCAGGCCTCTAAACAAATAGACAAAATAGAGGTGGAAAACGTTCCTCCATTCTGGTTTTACAGTTAATAAAAAAAGTCAAGTACAAACATTGATGCAAATGAATACAAATTCATCATAGCCTTGATCAATTTGATTGTGGAAATATAACACTTTAAAACTTTATTACAAACATATAGTCATGATATAATTTCATATTTGTTCCATTTAATTGCTTTGATTCATGGGTCATTTTGCTTCTCCTGATGTGCACACCTTGGCCACTTGGGGGCAGTGTAACTCAAATATGCATGGAGCCAGAGGAGATGCAGCAACTCCTCAGCAGTAATTTATATTGGTCAATCTTCACAGAAGATAAAGAATATATTTCCATAGGTTAATGCCAACTCATCTGTCTACATGTGTTACTGCACTGTGTATGCTTGAATACTTACAGGATTATAATGCCACTATGTCTATAAGGTTTCTCTTAGCATTGGCATAAAGACAGCCGATAAGCGAGACTGTGTTTGTTTATTCTGTTTTGGGATAAGACTGTAACAATAAAAATGTGAAAAATTTGAAGCGTTTATACTTTCAGATGCACTGTACTCAATAAAAATAAATAAAATGTTTTTTTCTTGTTTGTTTGTTTTTTTTAGCTGCCATCTCTATACACCAGACCCAAGGAGGATCAGAGCTGCGTGGATCCAATGGTGGCGGTGGGCCAGATGGAACAGAGCGTGGCATCATTGAGGAAATGGGTGGAACCGTATACAGATCAATGCCAGGTATGGTGTCGTGCTTGAGACGCGTCTCACGTCACAAATATTGACCCCGCCGCAGTCACAGGTGAAAAGCGTCCGTCGCGAGACTTAAGTCCAAGAGAAACTGCTGAATCAAAATGTTGACACAAAGCTTGTGGCGTCATCTTTCAGACATGTACCAGTTGTTCAGCGCTCCGCCCCCTGATCTGTATCCCAGCGTGGCGGTGGTGGGCTTCTCGGGCTTGCTGGGACTCTACTTGGCCAAAGGTGAACTGCTACGCACAAAGAATTTATAATAAGAAATGAGCTGTCCTCTGTCACACACACAAATATACTTCTTTTCAAAACGTACAAGCGTCCGTCGCAAGCCTTCAGTCCAAGAGAAACTCCTGAATCAAAATGTTGACACAAAGCTTGCGGTGTCATCTTTCAGACATGTACCAGTTGTTTAGCGCTCCACCCCCTGATCTGTATCCCAGCGTGGCGGTGGTGGGCTTCTCGGGCTTGCTGGGACTCTACTTGGCCAAAGGTGAACTGCTACGCACAAAGAATTTATAATAAGAAATGAGCTGTCCTCTGTCACACACACAAATATACTTCTTTTCAAAACGTAAACCCACTCGGTCAAATGGAAACTACTCCTGCAGCGCCCCCACGAGTTATCCAAACACTCGTTCAACAATGGTTGTTGCTCGTCCATTAGCATCCGGCAACAGCGACAGCTTCAGCGAGCTTCCTGATTGGTTAGCATTCAACGAGACTATTTTTCTGTTTCCCAATACAATTTCCGAGCCGGTGGTGAGGTCCCAACTTGCATAAAAATTTGTCATGTTAAATGTTGGACATCTTTCACATTTAATATTAAAGTGTCACCCAGGATCGCCTCAAAAATTGGACCTTTGCTGATTGAGAGGAAAGGGAGTGAAAATACTCAAATTTGGCTTTTTGATGGGTAGGTGTTTAGGCACTGCGGTGTATATATACACTTAAAAAAATCGAAACTATATCCTCTATATTTATGAGAGGAAAGCTGTTGTTGGTGTTTGGCTATGCTAGCAAGCTAACTCACAGTGCTACAAAAGCACACCAACAACACTGCACTCATGGCTCAGCATGATAAGATAAGCCGTGTTTACACTCTTACTTTGTCTGGAGGAGTGAGAGTTAGACAACCTGACACCGTGTATTTGTTTCGTCTTCAGGGTCAAAGGTGAAGCGTGTGGCGTTTCCACTGGGCCTCATGGCCCTGAGCGCCTCCATGTTCTACCCTCAACAAGCCTCTTCGCTATTCAAGGTCTGCATTTTTTCCCCCCTCCACCATCTCATGGTACTTGTTTTCAATTGTTTGGGTTTAACGTGAGAGGCAGTATCATGAGTGGCATGTTTGGCTCACAGTCCAGAGGTTCTGGGTTCAAATCTGGGCGAAAACCTTTACTGTAACTTGTCCCGAGGTGTGATTGTGTGTTTGTATCTTCCCTGACATTGACTCTGGACCATTTTGTTACCAACAGTAGAACCCCTGCAGGTAAAATGAGACGTTTTCCCAAAGATGTTGTCATTTGTCCCCGCAGGGGGGTCGGGACTCGGCGCGGGTGTGGGTTCACAGCGGACGCGTCGCCGTGGAGACACTATGGAAAGAGCCGCCATTCGGCAAACAGAAGGTGAGTCTTGGAGAGCTAAAGTTAGCATGTGGCACACTGAGAGGTCCAAACTAAGAAAAGGAAAAAAATTGTTTGTCAAGCCCGAGAAGACGGAGCGGCGGGAGGGCGGCGGCACGTCCAGCTGAAGCCAGACAAGTCTCTCACACACACGCACGCACTAAATCACCATTAGTTAAAATTTAAATTAATTTTATTTTCCTTCAGCGTACACAGGAACATGTTGAATGCTCAGTGGGAGCCATCATCTTGTTAGAACTGCTCAAGTGTTTTTCCATGAATTATGAATGATTTAATATCCACAAGTCGCTGATGGTGTAGTGGTACACACGCCGGACTTGTGTGCGGGCAGCGTGGCATCGATTTCCCACTCGGTGATGGTGTGGATGAGGGTGTGAATAGTCGTTTGTCTCTATATGTGCCCTGGGACTGACTGGTGACCAGTTCAGGGTGTCAGCTGGGATAGGCTCCGGCAACTCCCCTGCGACACTGCTCAGGATAATCCGTGTTGAAAATGGAGTGATGGATCGATAATACCCACAAGACACAGATGGCAGTTATGTGACAAAAGGTCCACGTCAACATTTGAATGAACTGCACTTACTTTTAATGTAATAATAAAGGACACATACAATCTATCCTTTCTGTGATTGGCCTGATTTGTCCGAAAGGCTTTTGTCGCTATCAAATTCATGGGTATGTCAGCCACCATCTTGGAAAGTTATTTCGAGTTGTGTAGCTTACTTCATACTTGTACGACATGACCCGTGTGTGTGTTTTATCCCTGAATGTTGTGATCCAAATAACACAATTGAAATCTTGTACAAAACAACTACCGCTAATATATATGAACACACACTACTATGTTACCTAAACCAATGGGCTTTGAATGTATTGGAGAAAAGTAAGTGACAATTGACAATATGTTATCAAGTGATTTTATTATTGCTAAGTGGCTTTAGCATGTGGCATCTACAATCTCAAGTCAACATTTAAAAAAAAAAAAAGATTTCTTGTAGTTATTTAATACGCGAGTGAAACCTCCTCCCTCTCCCGCCGCCGTCACACCTCGGTGGGCGTGGCCATCTTGACGAGGCTGCTCTTGTCAAAGCGGTAGAGCCTCCAGCCCTCCTCCTGAGAGAGGTCCTCAGCCCCGCGCCTCTTGTAGTACTGGATGGACACCTCGTTGTTCTCGGCCACCACAAACATCATACCCGTGCAGCGAGTCTTCACCGCCAGCTGTGGGGAGGGAGGGTGGGGTCATAAACATTTAAGCAGGTCAAAAATTACTGTGGTAGAAAGCCAAGTCATTACAATGAACCATGCCTATTCGTGATTCAACTCTTGGTGCCAGTAAACTATGTCGAAGTAAGTTGAGGAGCTTCATTTCGACAAAAGCAGTGATTTGGCAACATCTGGTGGCATAGCCAACCAAGGGAACAATATTCAAGTTAATTGAGGAGCTTCATTTCGATAAAAGTATGATGTGACCACCATCTTGTAGCATTCATACGCTCACTCACGTCGCTGAGCCGTCGCAGGATCTCCGAGCCGATGCCGAGGCCTGTAACCAAGACGAGCCGCGTTAACGTGAACAGACCGGACAGAGTGCGGCGACGGCGGACACGGCTTCCTACCTCGAAAGTCGTCCATCACATAGAACTCCTCCATGTAGAGCTGCTTGCCTACCCAGGGGTCATACGTGAAGTAGTACATGGCGAAGCCCACCACTTTGGAATCTGTCCACATTCACACATTCATGTAAACGCACGCGCAGTTTGCTACCCACTTTGAAACTAATTTGCTTCAATTACTTTTAATATTGCGAGTGACATTCATCTCTTTGAACATTTAGTGGTCATAAAGAACAAAGTACACCTAATGACAATTCTATTGGGAGGAAGTGAGGAAATTTCTTTCCGTGATGTAACGGCCTTGCTGACCTTGGCTGGCGCCCCCTCCTGGGATTTCAGCAATGATGCAGTGGTAGAACGGCGTGTCACCAAATCCATCCTCCAGGAGCTCTGTGGTGACAAACATTCTATTTTTTCAAAACGGGGGCTTTAGGCTGCTTCATCCCACTCTCTTCTAAATTTACTTTCAAGATAGACGTCCAAAATTAAACATTGTTGCCTGCTAGCTCAATATGAACACAATGGAAAATGTCAATGACACGCTAACGGTTCGTGTCAATAGTTGTGGTTATAGTCCCTTTTCAACCACTGCAGCTGTAAAACAAAAGGGCTGTACGTAAACAACCAAATTCTTTGTTAAATCAAAATATACAAAGACCAACAAAACTGGAGTTAGCTTTTGATAAAGTAGTTCATGATTCCTTGTAAAAGGTCAACAGTGGTATTTAAGAGTGCCCCATTTATTACAGATACTCTACTTTTCTTTCCCCATTTAAATATTCACAGATGTCGTCTTCACCTTGTTCAGTCAGCGTCACCTGGTGCTCCATTTCTTCATACTTGGCAAGTTCCTTGAAACAAGAACAAGGCTTTTTTTCAGTGCACACAGAATCAAAAGAAATGAAACCTGACAAGCGTTTCATTGTGGCTGCTCTGCAAAAAAAAAAATTTAAAAAGCCAGAACAAACTATATTTACAATGTGTACAAATACAGTAGCTAAAGTGATTACTTCACAGTACTTAACAAGATCAATGATCAAGTTTTTTTTTTTTAAGAAATCTTTTAATAGATTACATGATGCTTTGCCGTTCAGTGGAGGAATCAAATATTTGGCTCTGTGCGTGGGATTGCGGGTTTAAAAAGAAAATCCTAACTGGTAAAACATGGTCACTCTAATTGTGCCCCCACATCCACGCAGACCGGACACCAGCTGCTGTTTACACAAGTAGGGCGGATGTGAGTCAACGTGCCCGAACAAAGAGTGACGATGGTGACGTCACAATCGGTCGCCCTCGGTACTTTTTCGGCTCTGACGTCAACTTTTTGTGCTGCCGTCGTGATGGGCCATCCGACGACACCGGCACTGAGGAAATTTGTTCCCAATTAATTGTTAGGGTTTGTCATAAAAGCAGGTCGGGGCTCAACGCGCGTGTGTGCGCGCGCGTGTTTAATCTGACCCATTTCCAAGTGATGCGTATGGGATTAAAAACGTTCTGTGATTAACTGCCGCGTGGTTTACCTTCACCAGTCGTAATATATCAGGCACGTCCTTTGGTTCAGCCTTTCGCAAATTATACTCCATTTTCTCCGTTTACTCTTTTTTCCTTTCGTACGAAGTCCTCTGTAAGTGAAGTGAAAGATTAGGAGTTTCTTCATTCGCTTCAGAGACGCTTTCCCACTGCAGTCAGCCGCTGGTCCGGACGAGTTTGTCTACGCAAGAACATTCAGCAAGTAATACCCAGACGGGTTGATGCCAACTCTCCTTTGAGCCTCTTTGTTTACTTCGGTATTTTATAGCGTCTTCCTCCTGCTTTGTGAGTGGACACCACACTGACCGGCTCGGGTTTCCCCAAACCCTATTGGTCATTTTTAGCCAATCGGAATTGACGGTATGTTCACGAGCCCTTTCATTTTTCCTAATTAACTGGGGAAAAAGTCTCAAATCAAAGTACTCGGTTTAGGATTTAGCGCATTTCACGTGTATGAATGTTAAAACAATCAAATAATATACGAAAGTAAATTTGTTAGTATGTTGTATAAATGCGTTTCTCACCGTTTCTCAAATTCCTCCGCCACATTGGTCGTTTTTATCCAATCGTAAAGGAGGTGGTGATCACATGCCCAGTCCTTTTCCAAATGAACTGGAATATTTTTCTGACATCAAAGTAGTCCGTTTAGGAGGTAGCGTGGTTTCACGTGTACGAATATTTTAACAACTAACAAATAATAAACATGGCTGATCGTGACAGTAAATAGTCTTAATTGTGTCATATTTTGTGTTTTACGCAGCTCTCAATTTTCGCCCATACCATTGGATGCATATTTCCAAATCAGGCAATTTGTGGAGTTTCGTTTTTTTTTTTGGCCAATTGAAAGCGAGGGTGTGTTCACGTGACGAGGCGGTTATTTGAAACTTTTGTCACAAAACAAATATGTAGGATTAACTATTTTTTTACACATTTTAACGATATTTGTTAATCCCTCGCTTTATGACAGTTCACTCTATGCAGTCTCGCAAGATCAGACATTTCTGAATCAAACATTTCATTTAAAATCGTGGATTGTTTTGTTATAGTCCAGGATTTTTTTAGTTTTCGGTTTTTATAGCGCAGTCAGGAGTGCAACGATCGCTAGTTTTTAGAGACTACGTTGCCGTTACACAGACGAATGGCACAACATCGGAACGTCCAAATTCTGCATCGGGACGACCGCTGGTTTTAAAGAGGCGCAATAGGTTTTAAAAAGCCATCAATGCCAAACAAGCTGTATGTAAACAGAGCAGGGAGTTATCGTCTGACATCCCTCCCCCTAAAGATTGCCTAATTCTACGAGGTGTGTGTCCCGAAAGAACTGTTTTTCAACAAGGTGAGTGGACGAACAATTAGTGTACACCACGGTCGTTTCACAAATGTATTGTTGACACACCCACCGAGACTCCACACACAGGAATAGCCCAGTTGTCCCGATTCGACCTTTGCAGACAGATACCGGACACCTTTAGTATTCTCTTCCTGAATAACAGTTCTCATCGACGAGTCTGAAAATATTTACCAGCCACACGGTGGTTAATAAGTGATTGCATTGTGCTTGTCAATAGTTTCCTTATCACCCTTAACAAGTGGTATAGTGCACATAACAATTTTGGTCTGGTCCTCAAAAGAGCACGAGGGGTTGTTGATGAGTGCTCAACTCCTCCCCCCTGCAACTTTTCCATAGCAGTCAGCCACCTTTCTCTGGACATCATAAAAAAAGACGGTATCCAATTTATTCATCTCTAAATGATTACACGTTTACAATTTTCTACAGAGAAAAAAATAATTGGACCATAATCCGATTTTATTATGGGTACATAGCACCTAAGATAACAATTTAAATTGTTTTATGGCTTCGCTGGAGACATAGCGAGTCTACCGTGGGTGAGGTGTTGTAAACAAAACACAAGATTGACATTTATTTATTTATGCAGGGGACATCGATTTGTAAAGCCCTAAATTAAGCGGTCAAGATTGCTAAAAAATACACAATATCTTCAGGTTGGATGAGAGGATTCGCATTAAAGTGGGAGTTCAAAAAATTGAGACGCGATATAGCGGGGTTCACTATGCTGTATTTCGACTATTTTCAGCACCCCCCGCGACCCTTGTGAGGATAAAGCGGAACAGAAAATGGATGGATGTACTACTTTTGCGCCTCCTGCTGGACAACGTCGGTACGAGGCCGAAACAAATCCGACCACATTTTAATGCGTCATCGCCTGGTAGGCGTGGCTAACCCCCAACGCGGAAGTGCCTGTTTCTCTGACTCTGTGGTCCTCATCGTTCCGTCACCCCGAGAAGAGAAAAAGCGATTCCTTCTTTTTTTCTCACCGAAAGCTCGTCTGCGTTCGCTGTTCTTCGCGCGATGTTCTCAAAGAGGTTTGTTTTATTCTTTTCGTACGTTGATGCTAGCAGCTTCCCCGGGAGGTTGATTTTGGCCCGCAGCCACCACAAGTGGAAAAAGAAGTTTGGGCTTGGCTGGAGAATGGAAGGCCACACCACTAAGTTGGTGAGGTAGGCAGGGTGTGCCTCGAACTGGAACGAACACACTCAGGAAAATACAGTCGTGGGAATGATTCTTGACGTCTAAGGCAAATGAATACAAATCTGATGCCTCACAGCTTCTATAGTGGTGTCATATAAGCAAAATTTCCCTTTTACTTTTATTTCTATAATATAGCAAAAAAAAAGGCTAAATGATGACTATTATTGCTGGACATAATTTTTATAATTGATTCCATGCATAGAAAAGTAACAAATTAAACGTTATTATACATCGTGTGTGTGTGTGTGTGTGTGTGTGTGTGTGTGTGTGTGTGTGTGTGTGTGTGTGTCTCCAGGTTCATGTCATGTCTGCGACCCTCCGCGTCCTTGGCAAGCAGAAGATTTCTATGCTCGGCGGTGAAGGGAAGAGCGCCTGACATGGCCGAAGGTTAGACTCAAGCATCATCGTTCCCATCATCATCCTCACCTCGAACAAAATTGACTCAAAATGTATTAAAATAATTCATTTGATGATCTGACGTCACAGATGTTGGCCTCTTGAAGCTCAGGAAGCCCCGCACTGTGTGTGTCTGATGTGTTTTGTTTCTCCACAGGAAACCCTCTGTTGCACGTGTCAAATGGTGTGTTGGTACTCTAACGTACAATCATAACAATCATAACAAATAACATCACGAGCGGTGCTAGGGCTGGGCGATTGGGAACAGTTCTTCCAAAAAGTGGCATGACGCTTTCAGGTCATTTGTAATTCAACTTGCCTGTTGAACTAAACATAAAACAAAGAGAAATACACTTGATATATTTGAAACAGCAACATGTCAAAGCCTTTCAGTCTGATAGCCGCTGCGGTGTTGTCACCATTTAAGCAACGGATTGAACACAAAGTTCCCCAACATCTCTATTACCGGCAACAAAAAAAAAGGGGTCGCCGTCATATATTCTTTAGCCTCTGCGAAGAACACCCAATGTTAGCGCCGTACTGATGAATTGAGAGGAGTTGATAAGTCTCATTCATTCATTCATTCATTTTCCGAACCGCTTGATCCTCACTAGGGTCGCGGGGGGTGCTGGAGCCTATCCCAGCCGTCTTCGGGCTCAATGACCACAATATCCGCGTGTCTCTCTTATACTGCCCCCAGGTGGCCAAACCAGGAAGGCACACCACAAAGAGCAGCCCACCTTATCGCCCAGCCCTCATTAGTGCTAATAGCGTAGCACGTTTATCCTCTGCGGCATGTCTCCTGGCCGCTTCCACGCATGCCTCCATCTGCGTTTAACTCGGAAATGATTTCCTCTTCCTTCCACAGCGTGGCTAAAACACTTCCTGCTGCACTGGGATTGGTCTCGCCTGTGAACTTTGCCTGTATGGCGTTTCTCCTTTTAGTTTCGTTTCTCTCGCTGTCGACTCTTCACTGCGGAAACAAGCAATTGTCGCGTTTCATCTTTTCATGAGACAACAATCAAGAAATACCATTCTGACGCAATGTAAAAGTAGTCATTGTACTCAACACGCAGCCATTGATGTCTAACCACGGGCAACAAAAGTGAGCACACCCCTAAGTGAAAATGTCCAATTTTGGCCCAAAGCAATAACAGTAAATTTAACAGACCTAACACCCTTTCACGCTTTGTAACTAAGGAGTCACATGACACAAGGGAGTGAAAGGGGCTCATTGGGGACAATTCTGACCTTTTCATTTCGGGGTGTTGTCACTTTTGTTGCCTAAAGCACAGACGTTAATGGCTGACTGCTGAATTATTTTAAAGTGACAGTAAATTAAATTATTTTTTAATTTAATCGGTACATGGGCTAATTTAAGTTGGAGCAAAGTGTCATATCTTCAGTGTTGTCCCATGACAGGAGAGAATAAAATATTCCCAACATGTGAGCATTGTACTTATTTTTTGTGAGATTGTCTATCTGATGCTAATTTGATTTCTTCCAGTACGGAACAGGCTGCGAGAAATCGTGGGAGCTTCCACGAACTGGAGGTACGCGATCATCAGCTGAATCTCAATTGATGTTGAAGATGTCACACATTTCCTGTGGTTTTCTTCTTGTCGACGCCATCTTACATGTGGAATGCTCACAAAGTAACAGCCCGCGCTATTTATTTGTGTTGCGGTGCTACAATCACCTGAGTAACCGTTTGACAATATAACAGTACTCAGTCACATACTCTTTATCCTCTGTATAGAGTGACCAATATTAGTGCTGCACTGATGAGCTGTGAGGTGTGAGGTGTCTTAATGACCAGTATATCTCTCTGGCTGTCTTCTCCTCCCTTCTTTAAAAATCTGTATGTTTCATTGCTGCGCAGCGACCACCAACAGGCCATGTCAGAACGCGTGTCGCTGTCGTCCATGTTGGCACGGTCCCAGAGCGAACTTCCGGCCAAGAGCATGAAGGAGAGTTTCCTTGAGGTGCACCTTCCTCTTGGCTCCGAGCCACAGCTGCGAGAGAAATACCTCACTTTCCACAACACCGTCAGGTAGCGGAACAGCACGTAAGGTCACGTCCGCGTCGGCAGACGCAACCGCTAACGTCCTCGCGTTTTGCTCTTGGTCAGGTTTGGGCGCATTCTGGAGGACTTGGATAGTTTGGCAGGTACAAACTCTTCTTTACAAAGCAAAAAAAAAGAACAAAAGGGAAAAGTATGACAAATTAAATGAAGTAAAAGTGACACCAAACCATTTTTTTTAAAAACAAAAAGCAAGCCTGTTGCACGAAATGAAGCTACCACAAAAAATTATATATATTTGACATATCTAGTACTTTAAAACCTACTTTAAAAAAGTGTATTAACCACTCGTTTTCAGATCATTTTCCCAATAATTCAGCAAATTTCAACTTCAAGCGGACATTTTTGCTCTTGTCTTGACATTAACAGTGTACTTAAATATCAGGCGAAAAAAACCATGTCATATTTTTTCAATGGAAATTATTCCATATCAAAGTTAAATTATTTGTGCCTAAAAAAAAAAAAAGATTAAATTCTAATGTGCTAAGTAAAACTAAAATACATAGCACAGCACTTTGCTGACTAAACTGTTTTTTTTTTTTTTTAATTTACCGAGATATATTTCCTCATTGAATTTTACCCTCGTTCTTTTATATGACCTGTTCTGTGAAGCGTTTTATTTTCAATTCTGAAAGGCACAACATCAAATCTTGATAGATTGACCCCTGCTGAAGTTGACGTCTTCCCTCTGCCTCTTCAGTGCTCATTTCATACTCGCACACTTACAATCCCGCCCTGAAGAGGTCGCCGTTGTCCATTGTCACCGCCCTGGTGGACAAAATAGGTAAGATTCAAACTTCGCGAGCCGGAAAGAGCGTTACTAGCGCAACGTTACAGCATTTCTGGAGCTACTTGGTTGTCACGGTGACGCGAGGCCACTGCTGTGTGCAGACATGAGGCAGCAGGTGATCTACCCTGACTGCGACATCAAGTTCACGGGTCACGTGACCTGGGTGGGGAACACCTCCATCGAAGCCAAGATGCACATGACGCAGGTGTGATGTCACAGACGCTTTGATATTTGCCGTGCGCCGACGCTTCTGTCCGTCCGTGCGCCTTAAAATGGAGAATTCAAGTTCGTGTCTTCCTTGTTGTTGTTTTAGTATCGCAATGGAGCGTATTGCCCGGTTCTGGACGCCACGTTTGTGATGGTGGCTCGCGATCCAGAGAACAAGAGGTTGGGAACGCAGTCGGCAAAAGGAAGTCCACTGGACCACGTTGACTTTGTTATCTCTCGTCTTGTTTCCAGAGCAGCTTTCGTAAATCCTCTGAGTCCAGAAGGTCCAGAAGAGGAGGAACTCTACAGGCAGGGAGAAGGTAGGAGAGCACACATGTTGCGTAAGAGCCTCGTCGCGACATGTGACCTCCATTTTGTGCATCCGCGCGCGCGGTTCCTTAGCTAACAAGTCCCGTCGGGTGGAACTGAGCACAGCGTCCCTCTTGAAAGTGGCGCCCACGGCCGAGGAGAGGAAGATCGTTCATGGGCTCTTCCTCAACACCCTGGACACAAAGTAAGAAATCGATAAATCCAACGTCGTCGATTGCGCCGCAGATGAATTTATTGCTTGTGTTTAAAAAAACAAAATAAAAATAAAAAATCATTGACAGTCGCTCACGCTCCGCGTTCGACTGTCGTCGTTGACTTTTGCGTTTTTCGTGAAGGACGGTGAGCTTCCGCAGTCGAGTGTTGCCGCCGGACTCGGTTTGGATGGAAGATTCCAAACTAAAAGGACTGGAGATCTGCCACCCGCAGGTGAACACACCCGGGAAACATTTCATGAAAATACCACCCGCTAAACACAGTGAGATTTGTGTGTGTGGATGTGCGTTTGTCAGGAAAGGAACATCTTCAACAGGATTTTCGGAGGCTTCTTGATGAGGAAAGCGTACGAGCTGGGCTGGGCCAACGCTTGCTCCTTCGGGTCAGTGTGGCGTCAGAATCAAATACGCAAAGAACACCCGCGCAATGTGATGCTAACAAGCGTCCGCGCTCCTCGACAGGGGTTGTCGGCCCAGTCTGGTGGCCGTTGACGACATCCTCTTCCAGAAACCCGTGGAGATCGGATCCCTGCTGCTGCTCTCGTCACAGGTCAGGAAGAAACGACGCTTACCCGCGAAAGAGCCGCGACGCGACGCAATGGGTCTATGTTGTCCCGTCAGGTGTGTTACACGGAGGGCAAGCACATCCAGGTCCGAGTTCACAGCGAAGTCTTTGACCCGCTGACCCGCCAGCACAACACCACCAACGTCTTCCACTTCACCTTCGCGTCCGACCGCGACGTCCCCAACATTGTCCCTCAGTCTTACGGAGGTGAGCGCGTACCTACTGGGAGGGGACTTCCGAAATAAATTCTAATATTGTCCTTAAGTGAATCTGTTTCAGTAGGTCAATTCAAAAAGTGAAAAGTTCAAATAACGGTAATGAACGGTAGGCAGGACTGCTTTCGACTATATGCCGATATATGTTCCTGTTCCTGTTCCCTGACACACACACACTAGTCCCACCCCCTCACTGTGTGTATGTGTGTCGTTTGTCCCACAGAGTCCATGTTGTATCTGGATGGAAAACGTCACTTCAACCAAACCGTGGCGCCACATTGAACATGCGAGTGAGTGTGTGTGCATGCATGCGCACGTGTGTTACTTTCTTGTGATGTTTACAATTCTGTCCCGACGGGAACATGTTTGACATCTCCGTTATGTTACTTCCTTTTTCTTTTGGACCAGTCATTATAGACTGCCGCTATGATGTCACAGACCTCATCCACACTAAAATAGTTATTATACTTTATTTATCATCTCCTGGATGACTCTATGCACTGCTTGAATGTATCCAATGTTATATTTTGACTTCACTCTGTTACACGCTTCACTGTACTCGCGGCATCTTTTTTCTTGGCCTTATGATGCAATAAATGGATTTTTATTTCTCTGGATTTCTGTTCAAGTGTGCTTTTACAGCCCATGAAATTGGTTTTCATTGTACAAAGAGCCTTGAAAATATTGTCGTAATCTCGGTGACGCATTGTCGTCTTCTCGGGATCCGGAATGTTGAGCTGCTTTGGAATGCGGACGATTCCTGTTTCCCCGCCTGCGTGTGCACTTTGCGTGTGACGTGTGCCACAAAGCGTCACAGGTACACGACGCCTGTTTGCTTTCAGGGCGGTGACACAAAAAGCAGATGAACGTCGTCAATAAGCTTCAAAGCACACCACATTGCTGATGACTTCTTTAAGGTAATTTGGAGGGTTTTATTTGAAAAGTGGCTTTTTAGTTTGGCTATGAATCAATTTGTTTTTGTTATGCGTTAAAGTGAATGGATAAACAATCTATAAATATGGACCATATGGAACCTGACTGAAAATTTAACTGCTTTTGGAAGACTGTCAGCATTTTTTTTCATGTTTCTAATGACTGAAATGTTGCGTGTCACTTTATAATTCTATTTGTTTTATTTTGATCGTCAGAAGTGGTTTATAAACCATAAAAAGAAAACTGTATAACCTCCTGACACTAAAGGGACTTTGCTCAAACTTAATGCACAAAATTCGACAAATAAATAATGTTAAGATAAAAGTATTCAAGATCCAATAATCGTTTAATTCATTATAATTGAATTGTCAATACTGTTTATAAAAAGATAACGTGCTGTACATTCATTAAACCATTTCTCCCGCTCAACTGTGCGTTTTCAAAATAAAACGCTTGTGTCCAAAAATTCTGACTTTATTTACAGATCAATACTGTGTTTTATTTGGCATTACAATGAGTGAAATTTATCACCGCGGGCTGGATAACTTGTTGTGCTTTCAAAATAAACCCGACGTCGGCAATGATGTGAACGCGGGTCCTCTCTTTTACTTTTATTTTGAAGGGACAGGAAGTGCTGGTGCGGCGAATCTCGTGAGTGAGGCGTCGTCTTCACGTCGTGGTCGCGCTCGGTGCCTCACTCAAGCAGTTGCTTCTTCTCTGGAGGAGGTAAGATACACGCTGGCGCTCCTGCTTCCGGGATCTGTGTGTGCGCGCGCGAGCGCGCGCGCGCTTGTGTGGGTGTGCAGGTGTTTCAATATATGTATGAAAGTGTGTGTGGTCGTCGCTCGTGGGTATGATTTTGCGAAAGTTTTGTTTTGTGCGCGTGCGTCAATCAATCAACGTGCACGAGCATCACCTCGGAGCCTGCTCTTCCGGTGTGGTGTTGGCGTTGCGGAGGGGGGGGGGGGTCCTCGATTGAATGACAAGCACGTGACCAGCTTCCGTTTTTTTTCCCACCGCACTTCCTCCTCTTGACTGGAAATGGACACTTTTTTTCATTTTAATTTTTTTTTTATTTTTCTTCCCGTCACGTCTGCGGTGGGATGACATGGCCATTTTGCAGCGGTATTGGAATGCGGAGTGCGGTATAGGTTAGCCGCTATATGCCCGTGTCGATGACGTATCCCAGCATGCGTCTTCGTACAACCCCCCCCACCTAAAAGTATTGGAAGGTCAAGGTCTTAAATTAAATCAGTTCCTTTGTTTCAGTTGTGTACTTGAAGACGTTTGGGTTTCAGATTAAAAGATGAATCAGAGACGAAAGTTGAGAAGTCTAGCTTTTATTTTGTGATATTTACATCGAGATGTGTTCAACAATTCAAAGTCACAGCGCACCTTTTTTTCTTAGAAGCCACCCATTTTTCAAGTGAGCAAAAGTATTAGGACTGACATCATCCAATGAACTTCACCCTTACTTGCGGTGACTCCAGCTTGTTACTTTTTTGATTTGAAATGTTTTATCCGGGGCCTTTACTACAACCGCTTTTGTTTCTGTGGGTTTCTCCGTTCAGTCTCTTTCTTCAGGAGGTAAAATGTTGGCTCGATTGGGTTCAGTTCTGATGATTGACCATCCAGTTTTCCGCCCTGATGAAGTCCGATGGTGTTGTTGTTGTTGTTGTTAGACTGAGTTCTGGTTTTGAATCCTGTTTTCAAGTTTAGGGTTTAAAATTGTGATGTGCCGATAGGGTTAAGGTTTGAAATTAAGCTTTCAAACCTGCCTTAGGGTTCCAAACGTGACAACCTTGTTACTTAGAAATTGCATTACTTTGAAAACTACGTTACCGAGATGCCATCGCCATGGAGACCGGGCGGCAGGGAATGCCGAGAGGCGTTGCCATAGTAACCCCCAGTTGCCTTGCTCATCTGCCACATTAATTTGCTTGAATCGGAGTTCAAAGTTACGAGCGTGGACGCGGAATGAATAAGTTCTGAAAAAAGTCGGCGGGGTGCCGTTTCTCCGTTTTTTCATGGGGGCTGTTTCCAGGATGCATTTTCATTTTCAAAATGACACCTTCGTCCAAATGACGCCATCGATGAGCGCTCTTTTTGGTTTGTTTTGTGTTGAAACGCTACCCATAGGAAGTGTGAGGAAAGCGTGTGTGTGTGTGTGTGTGTGTGTGTGTGTGTGTGTGTGTGTGTGTGTGTGTGTGTGTGCTTGTGTGTGTATATGAGAGAGAGAGAGAGAGAGAGAGAGAGAGAGAGAGAGAGAGAGAGAGAGAGAGACCTGCTCTTCCACTGCAGCTTGCCCTCCTCAATGAACATTGACTCAGTGTCAGACTTAAGGGATCGGTGCCACTTTTGTTACGTGCAGGTACGTTGTGCGCGCGGGTGTGTCTGTGTGGTTTGATTGTGTGTGTGTGTGTGTGTGTGTGTGAGTACTAGTGCGACTTTGTGGGTGTGTATGTGTGCATTTTAAGTGGCCGACGTACTGTACACTCAGTGCTCAAGGTGTGTGTGTGTGTGTGTGCGTGTGTGTGTGTGTGTGTGAGGGAAGTGCAGCCTTTTATCAATAATCATCATCATCAGCTGTTAATGTAATGGACAGAAAGCAGCCGGCATTAACCTTTGAATCATTAATGGCAGCAATTTACGTTGCCGTTGCTCTTCCATCTTGTTGTTGTTGTTAACAAAGTTGCGTAAGAGCTTACAGAAGAAAGTAATAACCAGATGCGTCTGGCAAAAAAAAAAAAGATACGCTAATTTTAGGTCACATGACAAAGGACAAGATGCAGGCTGAATTCGCCGGTGGAAGAGTTTCTACTCGTGGATAACAATGAACCGCTTACTGAACGTGTTTCGCGGGAAATTCCGGTCGTGACTCTTGCTACGACTTACCGAAATGATGCTCGGCCAAAACAGCGCATCACGCTTGATTCTGCTTTTCGGAGAGCCCTTGAACGCCTCCAGGTGTGAGGCGAAAATGCAGGATGAAGATTGTTTTGCTGTCTTCGCCCGCTGAATTCTCGACATTTTTATTTTTTCGTCAATGTCACGCTTGTGCGACTAGTTTGCTTTGTGTGATGCTCGCATTATCTTTTGTGCGCGCGCGTGTGTGTATGTCCGTGTCAGCGTGAGACTGAAAAAGCTTCCAATTGTCTTTTTACGGACAATAGTCGGGAGACGTCTGAAATAGTTTTCACGTTATGTCAGTGAATGGCAATCTTGTGGTTTAAACTCGATTAGTCAGTCATCCAATATTTGTCAGCTGCTGTGCCCAATGGCAAAATCAAACCGGATCGCTCTGTTTTTCGCCTCGATTGATGAGAACGCATTCTCACCGGTCTCTTTGTGGTTTCCTTGACATGTGTGTAAGAGGTTTCAAAAAAAAAAATCACAGTGGCAGTTCACAGTGCTGTGGGACTGTCTACTAGTCATGTGGAATGTCAACAATGAGTCAGTCGCGAGGCCGCACTTCTTCTGGTTCTTCCTGTTTGATCGTGTGTGTGTGTGTGTGTGTGTGTGTGTGTGTGTGTGTGTGATCACCTGAAACTAATTGTGTGTCTTTTTTGTGGACGACGCGTGTGTCGGGTTATCTCAAATACGCACGGACACGCCCCGGCATCGACCCGTCACCTCTGCAACACTTTAGTTTTTTATTTTTTTGCTGTTGTCTTCCTGTCATGGGCAGCCATTTTATGATAGTTGTGTGACATGGGAGAGATTTTCGTGTGAGTGCGACTGCGTGACACCTAGGTGGGGAATAGTTTAGCATTGCGGGAAGTGAATGTTGGCGACCATTGCTGTCTGCAACACACACACACACACACACACACACACGGCGCTTCCTCTTTGCCAAGTCAGGTTTCTCTCCTCCGCATGCCGCACTGGTCCGCTTGACTGCCTCACATGCCGTGTGTCTGTCTGTCTGTCTCCGTGTGTGTGTGTATGTGTGTGTGTGCGCGTGTGTAGCCACACGGGCTTGCATTCTCGAGTGGCAGGGCAGCACAGGAGGTGAGGATGAGGATGGGCTTTACCGTTGCTGGCTCAGGTCAGTGTGTGTGTGTGTGCGCGTGCGTGTGCGTGTGTGTGCGCACGCGTGCGTTTAATGGTTCCTCATTGACGTTGTGCTGAACAGGCTCACAAACACCCGGTTCTCTGTCCCCACGGCCGTCTGCACCATTCCAGCTGTACGTTGCGGGCATGTTCAGACAACCCTGTATACGCTCTGCTGTTGACACGCCACACACATGCACACAAACATACACATGGTGAGGCAGACGAAAGGTTCCTTGTGTTTGTTTGCCGTTGTGCATGGACACCGAGGGCCGGCTTGCCGTTTGAAGTTTCAGCCACAGGTTTACTTTCGACTGTACTACACTCGAATCATTTGAATACGACAGATGCTGTTCTTAAAGTCCTGGTGTTTTTCCTCGCAAATCTTGTATCTGTTGTTAAAAACACTGCATGCGTAGGGTGCATGTACACCGTTGATAAATTGTCTCTTCATGAAGTATGCAGCCACTTTAAATATTCGTGTTTTTGTTTTGGTTTTCAGGTTGGCTTTGATTTCCTCCTTGGTGGGGTTAGTGCTAAGGGCTAGTAGACGATTAATCGACATTTTCTCAGTCTTTAAAACGTTACAATCGAAGAAAAATGATGAATTTTAGAATGGCGCGGAGCAATTACAAGTTCTCGATTTTGTACAAGTACCCTAAAGGCACCGTCCTGTTGCAAGTGTGGAGCATATGTGATTCTGTCGTCTGGGCGTCCTTTAAGATGTTTAATGACACCCCAGTTAGAGTTTACTGTGAAAACTAAACACACACCAAAATAATTAAAAACATTGTTATATTTGAAGACAAAACATGCTACGTTTTTAAAACATAAACATCGCTAGCGCTAATGCTAAAGTCAATGGAGGATCCAATTCAAACACTCAGCGGAAATTAGCATCGAATTCGAGTGATATCCCTTCAAATAACGCACAAACGCTGTGAAACACATACAAACAGGTAAGATAACATATTCAAAGTCATAAATTCTTGCCAATCTGCGAAAAACGAGTTAGATTAAGAGTTAAATCGCAACTTCTGTTTTGTGTACTCTTCCCCATATATAGCATCGCACTGCCCCTACGAGATCAAAATGCGTAGGAAGACCCAGTATTTGTATTATTTTTTTTGCAATTGCTATTATTTTCCTATATTCCTAATGTACTTTTTACAAATGTATTGTTATAGTGATTTTATTATAGTTTTAGATTCAAGGAATGTTCCTTTCCTAAAGAATCAAGGATACAAAGACACAATGACTTTTTTTGTGTGTGTCGTTACCAACACACACTTCCACATGACATGGCACGAAATACAATCCGTGAGTACTTCACGCTCTGTTTTTTTTTTCCGTATGCAGTCACACCATCAGGAGACAGACAGGAGGGGAGGCCAGGGACATCCCCACCCTGCCCAGACATCAGGAGACAGACGGGAGGGGAGGCCAGGGACATCCCCACCCTGCCCAGAGGAGGAGGAGACGAGCTGGTTAGGGAGGAGCAAGTGTCCAGCCGCAAGGTCCGTCAGTTAAGTTTGTTACCTGCGGGCTTGCTCTCAGTTGAAATTGACTTAAAAAAAAAAACTGCTACATTACACAAAAGCCATTAAACATTGTTGATTTGTCCTACCGCTAGCTTAATGCTAACATATCATTTGAAACACCATCGGCGGGCTAACTGAAATTAGCATTGATGTTATGATGATTGGAAACTGTCAAACACGTGTGACTTTATCACACGCAGAGCAGCACCACATTCTCACAGTTTATTTATTCTTTCTAGTAGATAGTAGAACCAACCAGCTAACCAACTAGCTAACGTTGATTTTCCTGTGCCGCTCTTTGTCCAGAAACAACTGGAAGATTACCTCAACAAGCTCCTCAAGATGCCGACATATCGCAACTACCATGCCATGGTAAGCCGCTGACACCGCAAAAAGTTTGATTACGTTTGTGTGGGAGTAGAATTTTGTTTCTCGAGAACTTTTGGCTTTCGTAGAACCTTGGTCGAGAAGAAGTACAAGGTTGTGTTTAAATTGTCGATGTATCCTGCGTGGAAGTAGAAATTGCACTCAAGTAGTAATTCGGGCTGTTTTATATTTGTTGTTGTTGTTTACGTTGAATTCTTGGACTTCCCGTTGCTGTCAGATGGAGTTCATTGACGTCAGCCAGCTGTCATTCATCCATGATCTGGGTCCGAAAGGCTTGTAAGTGATTCGATTGGCCGCTTCTCACTAACGGTTACGGCACGCTCAAGTGTTTTGCGTCGGTGTGTGTGTGCTCGTAGAGAAGGCATGGTTCTGAAGCGCTCTGGCGGCCATCGGATCCCGGGACTCAACTGCTGCGGTCACACCAAAATGTGTTACCGCTGGTCCAAACGGTCAGTACGCATGCCACACCACAAATAGCGCTAAGGAACTAAATACAAATACTCTATTACTTGACTAAAGTACATTTTACAGGTTCAAAGAGGGTTTGAAGTATAATAAGAAAAACAAATTTCATATTGTATAATCAAAATAGCTAAACGTTTCCTTAAGAATGGCCCGCTAGCTTAAAGCTAACATATAATAGAAAACGCCATTGACACGGTAACAGTTAGCATCGACAGCTGCGGTTTTTAGAGACCTGTAAGCGATGGACTTTTTGAATGACATAATTTGTGAATGGCCCGCTAGCTTAAAGCTAACATATAATAGAAAACGCCATTGACACGGTAACAATTAGCATCGACAGTTGCGGTTTGAGAAACGTTTCAGCAATGGACTTTTTGAACGTCATAATTTGCGCCTTGGGTTGTAACGGACTTTGATTAGGTGGCTGGTGGTGAAGGACTCGTTCCTGCTGTACATGAAACCCGACTCGGGCGCCATTTCCTTCGTGATGTTGTTCGACAAGGAATTTAGCGTCAAGATGGACTCGAAGGACACGGACACACAGCACGGCGTGCGCGTCGACAGCCTGTCCAGGTCAACACCACCACACCCTCACCCACAATAAAAAAACAAAAAAAAAAGGTACTAGTACATGAAATTGAAGTAGCAACCGAGCGTGCGTGTCCATCCAGGTGCTTAGTGCTGAAGTGCAGCAGCTACCGGCACGCCCGCTGGTGGGGGCAGGCCATCGAGGGCTTCGTACACAAACACGGCGCCGCCTTCCTCACCGACCATCGCTTCGGCTCTTTCGCCAGGCAGGAGGAGAACATCCCCGCCAAATGGTAACCACGGCAACCGCCGCTCATCCACTTCACTTCCATTCTACCTCCATTGCGAAAAGCATCCCAAGGAGCTGCGGCTTCCATCAGGAAAATGAAACGGCGCAGTCAAGCCAACGCGTGCGTGTGCGTGCGTGTGTGTGTGTGCGTCCAGGTACGTGAATGGGAAGACATACATGGAAGATGTGGCCAATGCTCTCGAGGAGGCCAAAGAAGAAATCTTCATCACCGACTGGTGGTGAGTTCCAATAGTTCTCTCGGTGGTCACTTCCTTTTTGTGTCCTCACATACGTTACTGTGTGTGTGTGTGTGTGTGTGTGTGTGTGTGTGTGTGTGTGTGTGTGTGTGTGTGTGTTATGTCAGGTTAAGTCCGGAGATCTTCCTGAAGCGGCCCATCGTGGAGGGCAACCGCTGGCGTTTGGACCACCTGCTGCGGCGTAAAGCGGTGGGTGTGGCGGGAAGCGGCGTTTGGCGCCAAGGGGGCGGGAATTCCGCATCGTGACCTTCCCTGTGACTCTTTGCTAACAGCTGCAGGGCGTACACATCTACGTCATGCTGTACAAGGAAGTGGAGCTGGCGCTTGGTATCAACTCGGGATACAGCAAGCTGACGCTACGCCACCTTCACCCCAACATCAAGGTGGGTGCGTACGCGCGGGTGGTGCGTGTTGGTGTCGCGTGACACTTGTCGTTGTCGCGCAGGTGATGCGTCACCCTGACCACGTGTCGTCCGCCGTGTACCTGTGGGCTCATCACGAGAAGATAGTGGTCATCGACCAATCGGTGGCCTTCGTGGGCGGGATCGACATGGCGTACGGTCGCTGGGACGACCGAGAACACAGGCTCACCGACGTGGGGAGTGTCACTTTCTCGCAAACGGAGCAGGTCACTTTGCATTGCTGCTGTGTTGTTTTTACATCATTATTACAAATAGTTACATTACATTTAGTTTATTTACATGTTATTACAATGTTACAACATTGTTATTCCATTTGTATCACATTGTATCTGTTTTAGGTTGAGGCATCATCCGCCAACGTGGCCACCCAAGCCAACGGCAAGGGCGACGGCAGCTACGGGAACGCCGCCTTTTCGGCAGACGACACGGTGGTGCAACCGAAGATCAAAGGTCAGAGCAGAATGCGGAGGGCCAAAATGAGCATCAAGCGCCACCTGCAAAAGCACGGGTTGGCCCACGCCGACAGCGATGACGAACTTGACCCAGACGCGACAGGTACAGACCCACACAACAAACCTCTTACCAAAAACACTTTCAACTGATGATCAAATAATCCTCTCTAACAAGTACCAAAAAAAAGAAATCACACTCACCCAAAAAAATCATTTCAAAAATCTCCAAACTCATTCAAAAAACTCAAACACACCTCCTCCTAAGATCTCTGTTTCACGTTTCAGAAAGCGAGGCGGAGCGGAACCTGCAGTCGTGCGAAGATGACTTGTGCGGGAACACGCGCTTCTGGCACGGCAAAGATTACTGCAACTTTGTGCATAAGGACTGGATCGAACTGGACAAACCTTTTGATGGTAAACGTCTCAGCTCCTCTCTTAACTCATCAGTACGGCACTTATAATCATTCTACGCTGAGGATGAAGAATATGACCAAATGTAGTTGTCTGTCTGCATGTTGCCGAACCATTTGTCTTCAAAAGTGCCTCCATGTAGATGCTAATTAGCATTAGCATTAAGATAGCGGACTGAAAGGCTAAGCTATGTGGATGTTTTTAGCTTGAAGTCTCTCAAATATTGCACTCATAATTGGACGATATTTAATATTTGCCTAAAACGCAATTCATCCATCCCGTTATCTTTGCTCTTCCAGATTTCATCGACCGTCACGTGACGCCCAGGATGCCCTGGCACGACATCTCGTCGGTGGTTCACGGCAAAGCGGCGCGTGACGTGGCCAGACACTTCATCCAGCGATGGAACTTCACCAAGGTCACTCGGCTTGAAAATTTGTCCTGACCAGTAAACTCAATTCAATCGATTAAAATGGATCAATGTTTTTTCTCGGCAGATTGTGAAGCCGAAATATCGTTTGTTGTCCTTCCCCTACCTTCTGCCCAAGTCGCACACCACCGCTGGCCATCAGCGTTACCAAGTCCCCGGGTGCGTCAACACCAAAGTTCAGGTTGGAGGCCATTTTATCATTCGCATTTCAGAAACTGTCTCTGACGTCAACCGTTCCTGATGAAATGTGTGTCCGATTGACTTCCTGTCTGTCCAGATCCTTCGCTCAGCGTCTGACTGGTCGGCCGGCATCAAGTACCACGAAGAGTCCATCCACAACGCATACGTGCAGGTCATCGAGAAGAGCCAGCATTTCATTTACATCGAGGTGTGTGTGTGTGTGTGTGTGTGTGTGTGTGTGTGTGTGTGTGTGTTTATGCTCATATGTGTGCATGACAAATTCTGCGTGTATCTAAGGGCACCACTTTGGAAAAGTTTCAAATAAGGCTAATTAACCAGGTTTTTATCAAGCTCTCAATATGGACATTTTCACTTCGGGGTGGACTCACTTTTGTTGCCAGAGGCAATATTTTACATAGTATTACGTAGTAGTATACAGTAGTATTTGTGTTTCCTTCTAGAATCAGTTCTTCATCAGCTGTGCAGACAACAGACACGTTTTCAACAAGATCGGAGACGCCATCGCTGAACGAATCATCAAAGCGCACAGGTGACGCTCACACGCGCACACACACACACACACACACACACATACATACACACTCGCGCACTCTATTTTTAATTGCGCCCCTGCAGGATGCAACGTGTATGTCCATATATGGTCAATTTCCTGTTTTGTGTCATGGCCCCTGCATCGTAGTATTCTAAGTCTACATTTAATGTAGATCGTAATTGTGTGTTAAAATGCCGATTTTCGTTTCATCTCTCAGGGAAGGTAAAAAGTACCGCGTGTACGTGGTCACGCCTCTGCTGCCAGGCTTTGAAGGTGATATCCGCACCGGGGGAGGAAGCGCCATCCAGGCCATCATGCACTTTAACTACAGGTGGGCGGGGCAGGGGCGGAGTGACATTTTGGGACTGACTGAGTGTGTGTGTTTGCGTCATTGACTGAGTGTGTCATTGATGTATGCGTTCCTGTGAAGCTTGCGTAAACATGGGCGCCCAGCCACCATGTGCAAATTTGCAAAGAGTGACGCTTCTCTGTCAGTCCTTCCATTCAAGCAGCAATGTGTCTCCTACGCAGGACCATGAACAGAGGCGACCACTCCATCATCTCCCAGCTCAAAAGAGAAAGTAAGTCACCTGACAGGAAGTCATTAACAAGGGGCTAATTTACGAAATGTAAGCAAATGTGGAAGATGATCCACTAACCACGGAGCGTCTATTTAGAAATTTCCGGGGCTGAAACTCTAACTAATAACTAACTCCAACTAATTTTTCACTTGGAGTGCTCTCCCAAATGTTCTTTCATAAAAACGTGAAGGTTTACAATTACCGTGACATTGATGCTAATTTCCATTAGCATGTCTATGGTGTTTTGCTTTATACATTAGCATCACGCTAGCGGCCGTTTGGCTGAATGTATTGGCCTTTTGATATGGAGTATTTCATTCTCATTTGTCTCTTTTGTCTGGAATTTATTTATTTTTTTTATTTTGAAAGGAACTTCATTGTTGTTTATTTAAAACCTCGATATCACTCACCGATGTGTTGATGATTGCGACCCGCAGTGGACGACCAGTGGATCAACTACATCTCCATCGCCGGCCTGAGGACGCACGCTGAGCTAGAGGGGAAACTGGTCACCGAGCTCATCTACGTGCACAGCAAGATGCTCATCGCCGACGACAACACCGTCATCATCGGTAAACCCGCAAAAAACGCGCCCCCGCGGTCGGCGCCGGCCGACCCGAGTAACCGGCGTGCGGCCCGCAGGCTCGGCCAACATCAACGACCGCAGCATGCTGGGAAAGCGGGACAGCGAAGTGGCCGTGATCGTGGAGGACTCGGAGACGGTGACGTCGGTCATGGACGGGCTGAAGTACCAGGCGGGACGCTTCGCGCTGCACCTTCGCGTCGAGTGCTTCAAGTATGACAGACTCTCAACGCCGCAGCGATTGTTACTTCCTGATCCACTCTGTCAGTCAAGGGGGCGGAGCTCCTTCCATACGTTCCCCGCCCATGATCCTAATTATAACAGCGCCATTGAAAATGAATGGACGGTCTTCCTATGTGTCTAGTGATTATATTTATCCCTCCTGTCTGTCAGGACGATTTTGGGCGCTCACACCGATGCCAGCATCGACGTGTCGGACCCCATCAGCGATCAGTTCTACAAGGAAGTCTGGATGACCACATGCGCCCGCAACGCGACCATCTACCAGAAGGTAGAAAACATGAGAAGCTAACATTCAAAGATCTAACTGCAACTGACGGAACGACCGAAAAGAGGGGCTCTAAAAAATGCATAAGTCTTCAAGTACCACCCTAAATGGCCAAAGACCACCGTTGAAATAACAGTTGCATAGTAGACCCAAGTGTTCACGGACAATATGACCAAAATATTCCTGGATGTATTCATATACTTCTTAAAATACTACTGAATACTCTTGAAACTATGGAAAGCTGCTTGAGCAGGATGCAGAGTATGTAGCTTTCAATCAATCCTTTGTTTTGGTCTTAAGAAGCATTGATTGGCACTTTCATATCATTTGCTGCGTTGGGTCGATCTTGGTGACAGACTGAGACTGCTGTTTTTTTCCCCGATCAAAACAATGTTGTCTTCTACTGTGATCAAAACAGTGTGCCCTCTAGCGGATAATCCACGAATTGCATTTTATTTAAAATATTCACTCTGTGTCTTTAATGCATTTTTTTTTCACTTTTAAATGATCCCGCGGGCCGGATCGAATCTCCTTGGGGGCCGGTTCCGGCCCGCGGGCCGTATGTTTGACACCCCACGCACTAGAGGGAGCCTGCGTAGCACTCGCTGTTAAACAATTGCAAAGTTTGCGTGTCTGGTGACAAGTCGGTTGTTGTTGCTGTGTCCCGTTCCAGGTGTTCCGCTGCCTCCCGTCCAGCGACGTGCGCAATATCCTCGAGCTGGAGGGCTACCTGAGCAAGCCGGGCCTGGACCAGGAAGATCCGGCCCGAGCCCGAGAGGAGCTCAAGAAGATCCGCGGCTTCGTGGTGCAGTTCCCTCTGCAGTTCCTCGCCGAGCAGAACCTCCTCCCTCCCATCGGCTCCAAGGAGGCCATGGTGCCCATGGAGGTTTGGACCTGAGGCCCTTCCGGACGGACTCGCGGGACCTTTGCCCTTCCTCTCTCTCCTTCCAGCAAACCTCAAGAACTGAAAAGACTGACGACAGTAGATGTAACTCGCGGCTCCTAGCCCCTCTTCGCATGCTCCCAAAGTGCCAAACGGGCACCGACTGTTAAGCCGGCCCACAGGAAGTCGTTTGGTCTCTGGGGAAAAAAAAAAAAAAACGTTCCGCCGGTCACCTTAAATCGGACGCGATGTCCTCATCATGGGAAGCGTCCCGTGTGGCTGTGCTAACTGGCTCAGCGTGCCGCGAGCCCATCCCACGGCGATGTCATCCCAGCATGCGTGATGTCATCATTACGTGACGAGCATGTGTCCGGCTCGCCGTTGTTGTTTGTTCTCGCCGTGTTTGTCTTCTGGATGGCTCACACCAAGGTGGAATCTTCTCCTTCTCCGCTACTTTCTTGACTTCTCCCCCTTCTACTTTTCATCCTTGTCCTCATTATTTCCTGTCTTCCTCCTTGTCCTCTTTCTTGTCACTCTCAATTCCTCTTCATCCTCCTGGTACCCCCCTCTTCTCAAATTCTTCTCTTCTCTCGCTTTTCTTCTTTTCCCTCTTTCATTTCCTCACTCTGCTTCTCCTTGTTCTCCTCTTCCTCATTTTCCTCTCCTCGTTATTCTTGTTCTCTCTCTCTCTCTCTCTCTCTCTTACTCCTCCTCGCCTTTTTTTTCTACCTCACAGCGATTCCGCCTTGTTTGCAACAATCTTCGCCACCCTCGGGTTGCGTTGAAACACGGAAACGTTCCCAGGAAGCGAGCGTTGTTGCCGTCCTGCATGTCGCGTCTGTGTGTGTCCTCCAACCAAATGCACTATTTTGCACAGATTCCTCGTGTCGTCGTCGTCGTGACGAGTGTCTGGATGTCTCCTCGTGCTCCTTCAAATAAATAATGCACATGAAAAAAACGTTGCTGGGTTGTTTTCCTTGCCTGCTGGGGAGATGTGGATTTTGATCAGAATGGGTTACTTTCACTCAAGGTTGGGTTAATTATTTTTGACCCAGCAGATTGGGTTGAAGAACTGACACTCGTTGGAATTTTGGACGGTTTGAGGTTATGATTTGACGATGAAAGGAAAATGCTGGTTCCAGGCTGACAACAGTTACGAGCTCAGTGAGGTTGGACCACCTGAGAACATAGAGATCAAGTTATTCAACAACTGCAGGCTGACACACTTGAAAATATCCTCACTAGAGGGTGTGAAAGTTTTTTTTTTTTTTTTTGCTTTGTCCTGAGAAAACCTCAAAAAGTAGCCTAATTTTCCAACTGTGGCCACTGGGTGGCGCCGAATGCTTGGATTGATTCAGTTGAGGTTTGCTCTCCACCGGCACCAGCTGTCACTCACTGGACCATGGTCATTGTAGTTAAAAATTTGCGGGAAAAAAAATCAGTAACAAACTGCATTGGTGCCCAAAACAAATTTTGGAAATAAACCCAACTACAATTATAGTAAAAACGTTCATTTTCATATTGTATATATTTATTCAAATTATATTTTTATTTAGCTTTTGTTAGACAATTTGTGATGTTCTACACTGCGGTTCCTCGAGACTCATATCCTGCCTGTTTTCGAACTCTCCCTACTCCAAAACACCTGATTTAAATGATCAGTTCACCAACACGACACCTTCTCAATAGTGGGCGTGTCCGCGTGACGCGTGACGCGTACGCCCCTCCCGGGATTCGCGCGCGCGACCGGCGAGTGACGTTGTGGGGTGCGCGCCGCTGCTATGCACTCTGTCGTGCGCGCGTCCGCGCAGGTGGAGGCATGTAGCAGTACCTGAAGGCTCACTGCGCGTCGTCTTCGCTTCTTCTTCTTCCTGACGTCGCCCGACCGCGTGGTTGGAGGAAGAAGAGGAGGAAGAGGAGGAGGTGATCCAGGAGGAAGGAGAAGGACGCCGAGGAGGGAGTGAGATACCAGAACGAGTCGAGGAAGCTTCTTCCCTTCCTTCCATCTTGAGTGAACCATCCGTCCTTCCGCCGCCATGGCGAGCGACTCCCCCGCGAGGAGTCTGGACGAGATCGACCTGTCTGCTCTGCGGGTAAGCCGAGCATGCGCGCGTGCGTGTTGCCCAGCACCTGTCCTGTCCTCCTCCTCCGTCTCACCCTTTTGCCTCCTCCTCATCATCCTTCTTCAACCTGCCTGTTCCCCCCACAGCCCCCCATCCTACCGGCGGTGCGCGTGCGCGTGCTGCTTCGTTACATGCTGCATATGTAGTGCGCGTAGACGCGTTTTCTTGACAATCGAGGCCGCGCGTACTCACACCTCGATTATTACAGATGTGTGTGTGTGCGCGCGCGCGCCCGTCCGTCTCGTTCAATCGTTTGCCTTGACGCGCATGCACGTAAATCCCAACCAGAAGACGCGCGCGCGCGGGCGCCAGCCAGCCAGTTCCGCCATTTCGTGATGTTGTGGTCACAGCAGCAGCAGTGACGCGCTTGGTGGGCACGCGCACGTGCACTCTAGTACACTACAGCTAAGGAATGTGTGGGCGGGCGAGCGTTCGTTCGTTCGTTCGTTCAAGCGCGTGCGTGCCAACTTGCAGCTTCAAGTATGGCCCAGACGTGCGTGTCACCGCGCGTGCGTGCGCGTTCTCGTGTCTCTTCTTCCCTATTATTTTAATCACACAACAGTGAACAACACGCTATACGAAACATAGTACCTGCAGTCAAGTCTGGACATGATGGAGGGTGCGACACAGGAGTGTGTGTGTATGCGCGTGTGTACATGTGTGTCAGAGATGTCAGAAAAGAGCAGATGAATTGTAGGCCGCAAATGTCTCCATCAGTGAGGAGAAATTAGGTCACACAGGACCGAGATGACACACACACTTGCGCACGCTCATTCACTTTGATAACCTTCCTCACTTCCCTTTGTTGTTACAAAGCGTTATGTTCTATGCTTTTGGCAAATTGTAGACGCCGATTAGCGGCGTCTAGCTACAGAAGCGGCACCTCTTTTCAGGATGAAGATTCCGGATGGGGGGAAAACAGAGGAGTGAGAGAGGCCATCTGCAGTACATTAAGGTTGAGAAGCTGTCTCAAAACAGAGAAGGGGTCTTGTCCGACACCACCTATCTCCAACTTACAAAGCTGTCCTTTCATCCCTCCTGAAGAGACTCGATAATTGAACCTCTAAAAACCCACTGCACACTTGCATGATGCAGCCAAACCCGACATGGACCATCGCACTTACCGATGGAATCTGTTTATGGAATTGATCTATAAACGTTAAACGGCGGGTCCCTGTAGGCTTTTGAAGCAGCACATCGAGTAATTTTCACTTTATCACTTTTATGAAACCATAAAAAGATAACAGTCAAGGAAGAAGCAGCTTGCGTCAGAGAGTGGACTTGGGAGAATACAAGAGTGGTAATATATTGAGAAGCTCAGCTCGGTCCCACTGACCTGAATGTGTCCGGGCGGTACGTACTTCGCTTGCGTACATTTTGCCAACAGAGACTACAAGCTTTTTGTAAGATTGTCGCCCCTCCAAATCTCTTGGGTAGGACAACTCTTTTTGCTTCAGCACCTTCTCTGCATACATATAGAGATTGACAGTACTACAGTAAGCACTAAAAACACCCAAAATGCATCATGGACGTATTTTTTGGGGCACATGACACAACAGCTAGCTTCTCTCATTCTAATTCAAACACAGGACAGCGGTGCTGTCACGACAAAAAAAAAAACATCAGCTAACTCATCTTTTCGAACTAGTTTGAAAAGGGCCGATAGTCAATAAAACTCAAATATGAATGGTGGTGGGAATACGATTTAGGGTTGCTAAAGTAACCCCCAAAATGGGCTACAAATGATTGATGAATTCTCCTCAGATTAGAGGCCAAATGTCTTCCAAGAGTGCTACTTCCCGTCTGTTAGCTTTATTTTAATATCGTCTCACATCGACATAGCATATTTTAGCTTCTAGGGTTGTCCATCTTTTCCTTTCGCGTTCGCCCCACTTTATCTTAGCATTGCCTCACGCCTATTTTGCATATTTTAGCTTGTAGCGTCATCTATCTGCTACTCAGCATCTTTTAAGTTTAGCTTAGCGTCATCTCGCTCCTACCCAGCATCCGTTAGCTTTAGCCTCACATCGTTTGACGCCAACTTAGCATATTTTAGCTTGGCGTGTCGTCTCTTTCCTATTCAGCATCTTTTAGCTTAAGCTTAACATGGTTTCACGGCAACTTAGCATCTTTTAGCTTATAGTGTCATCCCTTTCCGACTCTGCGTCTTTTAGCTTCATATTAGCCTCATCTCGCGCCTACTCAGCATCTCTTATCTGTAGCTTAGCATCTTCTCACTCTAACTCTTTTAGCTTTATCCAAGCAACGGTTCCCACTCGTACGTTAAGGTACTAGTCTAGTTTAAAGGTTCTTGTGTAGCTATTTCCTGTTTACTAAGTTGTTCTGTGTCTTTCTCAGGACCCAGCGGGCATCTTTGAGCTGGTCGAACTGGTTGGCAATGGCACCTATGGCCAAGTATACAAGGTAAGGTAACCGGTAAACTCCTGACTTTATCTACGATCCCTCTGTGTGTATATTTCTGATAGTTATCAGATTTAAGCTGTTTAGTGTAAACACATACCCTCTAAGCCGCACATTCCCAGACATGGTGCAGCGGCCCTGATTTGCTTCCCAGGCAGGTGGTCCCATCGGGTTCATGAATCCACAAAACATACAAACCTGGATGACATCAAATCTACTTCTCGTGATGCTCTAGGATGTTCAATCGAAGGTTGTGAAAATGGCCGTTGTGAAGGTTCTAGAGGCTCCAGACAGCCAGACGTTCTTCTGCAAAAAAATGTGCACACTCAATGATTAATATACATTCTTGCGCAACACATAAGTGGCTTGCTTAATACTAACTACTGAGTCAGCCGTACTGACTCATTAGACTGCTGAGTATTTTTTTAGGTTGGGAGATGATTCCTATTTCATGAAACCACAGAGCTGTTCCTTGAGATGCAAGTTTCATTCGTTCATTGACCACTCTTTTTGATCTTTCCTTATTGAACGGAAATGTCTTCAATCAAATTCTAGTGCGTAATGTATGTAATCATCTTAAGCTCGTCCGTGATCATATTGAAGTCATTTGAGCGGCAACAGCGTGCGAGGAATGTGTGAGGCTTGTCAGAACACAGCACCTGAGGATTGTTGTTGTTGGTGAGGCTGCAGCTAAAGACGTCCACCTCCTCCTCTCCCTGCAGGTCTGTGTGCGTGTGTGTGCGCGGATTTCACACAAACGCGCACACGCCGGCGAACAGGGACAAATTTGTGGCAGGCGTCAGTGTTGCAGGAAGAGAGACAAGCAAACTGAGATGCTATCGCTTCCTCTCGCTTCACTTTTATTGCCCGCCGGTTGCCGCCAACAACCCCACCGCCTGCTCAGTGTCACACTGTCAAACCTGACGTCCAATCCGATGACTGATGTGGATGAAAATGTCTTCACGCTTCTTTGGAGGAGGTCACCAATTAGGGGAATAGCTCATTTGGGCACAACTGGGGTTCAAAATGATTTATTTATTGACTACAAGTAATGTAACTTTTGCTCATCTTTCTATGCCAGCGACATGTAGTGACAGGCTGAACAATTTCAGTCGAAGACGCTCTACCTTTAGATGTCACTTGCGTACGTACCCGTGGCCATTCGAAACACATGAAGCGCTCAAACAGGCCCACATTTTGCGTGCGCGCGAGCAAGAATTTTAGTTTTGATCACATTTATTATGATGATTAAAAAAATAATGTGTCTCTGTTTCAGGGTCGCCACGTCAAGACTGGCCAGCTGGCGGCAATCAAGGTCATGGATGTCACAGGCGTAAGTAACGCCCGCATACGCGCGGTGTATCGTGATGGATATGTTACATGATACATGTGCGATTGCACCAAAATTCTCAATTTATCAATTCGTCATTTTAATTTCGTTAAGGATGAGGAGGAAGAGATTAAAGCGGAGATCAACATGCTGAAGAAGTACAGCCACCACAGGAACATCGCCACCTACTACGGTGCCTTCATCAAGAAGAATCCTCCCGGCATGGACGACCAGCTGTGGGTGTGTATGGACGCCATGTACACACGGGACAGGACAAAAGTCTTGGATCGCTTTTTGTCCAGTGGACAAAAAGTACCCATTGATTAAATTAACATCTCAAACGTGTTCTTAATTTCCGGCTCTTGTCTTATAGAAAGAACAAGTTCCAATTAGATTATTCAAATCCCTGTTTTTTTTTTACATGTGGGATTTTTCTAGCTGGTGATGGAGTTCTGCGGCGCCGGCTCGGTGACAGATCTCATCAAAAACACCAAAGGCAATTCCCTGAAGGAGGAGTGGATCGCTTATGTCTGCAGGGAGATCCTCAGGGTGAGCTGGCTTGAAGACCAGCATGTGCGGGGAGGGGGTGGGGGGGTATCGACAAGTTGACGAGATGGTATCCTCCTGCAGGGTCTCACTCACCTCCACCAGCACAAGGTCATCCACCGTGACATCAAAGGTCAAAACGTGCTTCTGACGGAGAATGCCGAAGTCAAATTAGGTGAGATCAGAGCGCCTCTTTGTCCTCGTGAAATATTTGATGAAAAGACATTTTTGTTACTTCGCACATGAAGGAAAAGAAAAAAAAAATTAAAATAACATGTCAAGCGTGCTTGCTTCAAGCTGTTATTGTGTGCACGTGCGTAGTGGACTTCGGCGTGAGCGCTCAGCTGGATCGCACGGTGGGCCGCAGGAACACCTTCATCGGGACGCCGTACTGGATGGCGCCGGAGGTCATCGCCTGTGACGAGAACCCCGACGCCACCTACGACTTTAAGGTACGCTTACAAATTTGAGGAATCTTGTTCAGATTGCATTTCTGTGAGGACCGCCACGAAATGTAATTATTTATCTCTTGATTGTGTTTTCTATTATTTCCTAAAATATCGAATCATTTTTGAAAGATATAAAACCAAGGCGGATTTAATAAAAAAAAACAAAAAAACAACTAAAGTGTCTTTACTGTTTTTAATCAACATAAAACCAAGGCGGATTTAATTAAAAAAAAATAAAAACAACTAAAGTGTCTTTACTGTTTTTAATCAAAAGATATGAAAATGGTCCCTCTCATTATTGATACAAAAACAGTCAATATGGTGTTTGGCGTACTATTCTTATTCATGAGTAAAGTGAGTTTATGCTACGTAAGTTAATGCTAATTGAGCTAATGCCTATACCATGTAGTGTATTCTTATGTTGCCGGGGAAAATAGTTATTGTACAGTTCTTAAAAAAAAAAAAAAAAGTCCTCTGAAAAACACACTGGACCGAAATTTTACTGGACAGTCATGTAGCGAAACACAAGACGACCACGAAAGTGCTTTTTTTTTAATGTGCGTGTGTGTGTTTTGTGTTGGCGACGTGTTGTTTGTTCCGCTTCCCGAAACCAGTTTCGATGCGTGGCAGCGGAACGGTCCGGAACAAGTGAAGTGAGAGGGAAAAGTGTCTGAATGTGAGAGGACAGATGGCGCCGTGATATTTTTATGACTTAACGAGTACACGTAGAGCAGCTAGCATGTTAGCACGTTAGCTGGTAATGGGGAAGTGAAGGTGTTGGGTTTTTGTGTTTGTGTGTGTGTGTGTGTTCGTGCAGAGCGATCTGTTTTCGCTGGGCATCACGGCCATCGAGATGGCGGAGGGAGCGCCACGTAAGTAACAAACTTGAAAGTTCTACCCACAGTGATCTGGTCTTTAATTCATATTTCTTCCGCTTTCTTCACCCCCTTTCATTCCTGTTCATTTCCTTTCCTACATCTCTTTCATTTTTCTTTTCCTCTGTTTTTTCTGTTATTTCCTTTCCATTTTTGTCCTTTTTTTTTTCTTTTCCTTTCATTTTCTTTCCCTTTCTTGTCTTGTTGTCTTCAGCGCTGTGTGACATGCATCCCATGAGAGCGCTCTTCCTCATCCCCAGAAATCCTGCCCCCAGACTCAAGTCAAAGAAGTGGTGAGTCATGTCACGTGACACAAAACACACACTCCATCCAACCAGTGGAGGTAAAAGAACAAAGTGGATTGGTCGACAGGTATTTGAATGTGCTTGGAAGACTTCAATGCTGTTGTTGTTGTGGTTGTGCCGGCGAAGGTCCAAGAAGTTCCAGTCGTTCATCGAGAGCTGCCTGGTGAAGAGTCACAGCCAGCGGCCGAGCACGGAGCAGCTTCTCAAGCATCCCTTCATCCGCGACCTCCCCAATGAGCGGCAGGTGCGCATTCAGCTCAAGGACCACATCGACCGCACTAAGAAGAGGCGCGGGGAGAGGGGTGAGTTGCTTATCCTCCAGGACTGAAGCATTTGTAGGTTAGAGACAACATTGTGTGTAGTCGACACCAAAATAACAATCATCTGCTAGCTTAATGCTAACACAAAATTCAAAACGCCATAGACAGACTCAAATACCAAAATAGCAAACACCTGCTAGCTTAATGCTAATACAAAATTCAAAACGCCATAGACAGACTCAAATACCAAAATAGCAAACACCTGCTAGCTTAATGCTAACATATCATCCGAAATTCCATAGATGTATTCAAATGCCAAATATTTTGTAGCTTAATGCTAACATGCAATGCAAAAGGCCATTTGTAGGCTAGCAGAAATTAGCATAAGTGTTACTATATTTACAACCTGCATCTCTTCTAATGCACCTCAGTGCCGCCTGGCATGTTGTGGCACAACAACACTGAAGGCACACAACTTTAAATTGGGACTCACCTGTTTTGTGTCAAACAAAACAAAGTCCGACATGTGACGTGTATGTTCCATGACCCTCTCGAGCCACGTCTGCTTCCAGATGAGACAGAGTACGAGTACAGCGGCAGTGAGGAAGAGGATGAAGAGCGGGACATCGGCGAGCCCAGGTAGGACCACCGACCTTCTTCACCGCCCCCTCTGTGTGTTTAACACCCGGCTCCTCCGTGCCCTCCTCTCAGTTCCATCATCAATATTCCTGGGGAGTCGACTCTGAGGCGAGACTTCCTGCGCCTGCAGCTGGCCAACAAGGAGCGCTCGGAGCTGATTCGCAGGCAGCAGCTGGAGCAGCAACAGAACGAGGAGCACAAGCGCCAGCTGCTGGCTGAGAGGCAGAAACGCATCGAGGAGCAGAAGGAGCAGAGGAGACGCCTGGAGGAGGTCACCATTTTTTTTTTTTTTTTTTTTTTTTAACTAGAGTTAGAAACCGGCGATAAATGAACTGTTCGCCAGCCAATCACAGGTCACATATAGACAAACAATATTTACTCTTTATGAAAATCCACAAAATCACCTGACACATTTGCAATGGAAAAGAGGATCATCAGGAGAATTTATAATCATAATAAACTCTGACAGTTTTAAGAGCAATTTCCAACTGTTTCTAATACAGCGCCCCCTGTGCGTGTTATACCGCAACTGCAATTAAAATTTAAAAAATCACACAGCACACTTCACTGGCCCAAAATTCTAAATGCTGCAAAAAAAAAAACAAGAAAAAAAACTGCACTCACTCACTCACTTTTTCCAACCGACAGCAACAACGTCGCGAGCGTGAGATGCGCAAGCAGCAGGAGCGAGAGCAGAGGAGGCGGTACGAGGAGATGGAGCAGATTCGCCGAGAGGAGGAGAGGCGGCACGCCGAGAGAGAGCAGGTATGGGTGTTGCATGTATGGAAACACTTTTGTCATCCCTTGAGGGAAATCAAATACTCGCTGAGAGAAATAAAACCCTGAAATATATCTTTGGACTGCGCCACTTCCTGTCTCCTCAACGTCTTTCTGCCTTTTGGAAAAAAAAAAAAGCTGCAGCCAATCAGACACTAACACAGCTTCACCTTTTTTGGTTTCTAAACGCACTGTCCTCCTGCGCTTTCTTCTTCCTGCTTGGGGTGATGTGGCCTGGCTCTGATTGGCTCCCGCTGCTCGCTCTCTCTACGGCGCCGCTGCCCGCCTTAGGAGTACATCCGTAGACAGCTGGAGGAAGAGCAGAGGCAGCTGGAGATCCTGCAGCAGCAGCTCCTGCAGGAGCAGGCCTTACTGCTGGTAACGTTACTCAGCGGTGCCGTTTCCGTGGCGACCTCAAGGCGCATGTACGGGGCGTGGGGGCTATTTTCCAGGCACACCTGCGATCGGTGAAAGTCAGCAACATAGAGCGACCATTTAAAATATGTCAATGTATAGCTTGAATTGTCCCCAAACATTAAAAAAAAATTTTAAATCTACTTAAACTTAATAAATAACACTATACAGTAACACAAAAAAATAACAGGGCACCTTCTCTGCCTCTTCTTCTTGTTTTTAATTTCACTCTTCCCATAGCGCTCAGTACTGCTTGGCATGTGGTGGCACAACGCTGAAGGCGCACGTCTGTCAATCCTACCTTTCGGAAGTATTAACAAAAACAAAAGGTTTTACGAACACGGGTTGTGTTCGTACTGAAAAAAAAATATCTGCACTGTAATTCAAAACAATACCTTGGTGTCATCTTCTTTTGTGGTCAGGAGTACAAGCGCAAGCAGATTGAGGAGCAGCGTCAGGCAGAGCGTCTGACACTCTTCCCATAGCGCTCAGTATTGCTTGGCATGTGGTGGCACAACGCTGAAGGCGCTGTCAATCCTACCTTTCGGAAGTATTAACAAAAACAAAAGGTTTTACGAACATGGGTTGTGTTCGAACTGAAAAAAATATATATGCACTGTAATTCAAAACATTACCTTGGTGTCATCTTCTTTTGTGATCAGGAGTACAAGCGCAAGCAGATTGAGGAGCAGCGTCAGGCAGAGCGTCTGCAGAGGCAGCTGCAGCAGGAGCGAGCGTACTTAGTGTCTCTGCAGCAGCAGCAGCAGCAGGACCCGCAGCAGCGCCCCCTGCAGGACAAGAAGCAGCTCTACCACTACAAGGACCAGGCGCCAGGGGCAGTCAACGACAAGCCCGCCTGGGCCAAGGAGGTAAGGCGCAGTCTTGGATAAAATATCTCAAAGTCATACTTGAGTAAAGTATAACCGAAAATTGTTTTGGTGGAAGTTGAAGTCACCTTGTGATTTGTAAAATATTACTGGAGTAAAAATGTGGGACTGAAAGTCGTGATGGTTTGAATGTATCAGAAAATGCACCAGTGAATCACAGAAGCTGTTTTCTTTGTTGTTCTTTAGTTTTAAAGACTCGACACAATGCGTCTTTTCTCCCGCATTTTCATTTTGAAGTGAAAACTTGAGATCTCGTTCACACTTCCTGTTGACTTCCAGAGCTCCTGCAACAAGCAGTCCACTCTGTCCGTCCTCTCCGTTTTCATAGTCATACTTCGCAACTGTCCTTCATTTGACCTTGTGCCTTTTGACAATATGACCTCAGAGTCTAACCTTCAGCTTCAACAGGGCTTGGAAGCAGGTTGCAGTTCGACAAAGGTTCATTCAAGTCCACATGTTCGCACGTGCTTTATTCCCCCCTGAATACGATTTCCATAAAAGTTTTGCATCCATACGCAGCAGTGAAAGAAAATGTGCTTCACCTTTTTTTTTTTTTTTTTAAAAAGATGTCTTCAAGCAGTTTTTTCCACTCCCAGTTGATATTTACTGTGAAACGAAATACAACACAGATAATTGCTTGTCTGTTTTCAAACAACCTCCGAGTTTGGCCTTCAGTCTGCTAGCTTAATACTAACGGTAAATACCGTCTGATTGGCATTGTGATCATCCTTTCAGCAAAGGATCATCACAGTGATGTATTCTTTATCCTCTGCGAAGAATGGCTAATAGTTGTGCCGTACTGAGGAGCAGAGAGGAGTTGAGACATCTGAACGAACATTCTGTCTCACCCGTTAGCCAGTTAACTGCTAGCCAAACGCTACATTCTCATTTACAGTCTTCCAAAAGATCCAGCCCACCTTTTAAAAGGCGCACACACACATTCAACGTCAAAGATACGACAGTGTAGAAGGTCACCCGAAGTGGACACAATTATGCAAGCGGGGGGACTGTATGTCTGTATCGTTGTGGTCCGTAAACGCTGACGTTGCCCTCCGCAGGTAATGCGGCGAGCTCAGAGTAACTCCCCTCGCGTCCCTCCCAAGAAGTACCACTCCTTCCGGCACACGCGAGACTCCCACCTGGACCCTCTTCTCTTACTTCCTGGTTACAAGCCTCAGCGCCGCCACCGCCGCCCCCCTTCCTACCCCGCCCATGTCAGCCCCTCCAGGGATCACGTCCACATGCCACGCATCCGGATCACCTGCGTCCCCGAGCCCGACTCACGAGGCCGGAGTCCCGGCCGCCGGGTCAGTTGGAGGACGAGACCGCGTGACTAACCATCTTTTTTTTTTTAAACCTCACTAATGCTTCTTTGTCTGAGCAGGTGGCTTCACTTCCTCTCATGGGCGACGCTTTCACTCCCATCTAAACTTCACCTTCTTCACGTCCTTTTCAGCTCTCGACAGGCTATTAATTTGTCTTTCTTGTCATCTTTTTCTCACATTCTTCTTTTCCTCAGCTTCTTTTTCAACACCAGTGCTTCCCAACCACTGTGCCGCAGGAAATTGTACAATTTCAAAATGAATGTTTGTTGGGCACTCAACAATTATTATGATTTTTTTTTTGTCATTCCTAAATTGTAAGAGTATATTAATTAAAATATGACATTTTTAATGGCCGTATTTTCTTTATCCTCTGCAAAGAATGCACGACATAATTGCAGGCTGCATCTTACTGAGATGACCAGCCCCATGTGCATCTAAAATTCTGTAGTTTTGTATTATACCGCCCCCAGGTGGCCATGGCGTGCACACCAGAAGGAGCAGCATCATCTTCATTGAAATGAAGCCAAAAAAAAATCTCGCAAAAACATTTAAATATTTTATATTCTCTTTAATTGCCGTAGATGTATGTTTTCATAAAGCGCAATTTTATCGGGGGTGATCTTTTTCTTAAATTAAAATTATAGCTCACGGCACCACTGTACACCTTTTTTGTGACATTTTTGTTTGGTGCTGTGTCAGGGTTGGGCAGCACTGTTCCAAACCCACGCCGGCTTTTCAACTTTGCCCCAAAAGGCTCACAAGGTGAACTAACGAACTAACGAACCAACACGTATTCTCCTGCAGGCTTCTTTTCCCTTTTCATTTCGTTTTTCCAACATATGAAGTCATTTTGCGCCAGCGTCTTTCATGAGCGGCCTCGCTTTGTATGCACTACGAAAGAGGTGAATCAAGTTCTCCTGACACTGCCGCGCTCATTTCAAGGCCGCGGCTCCCGGTTAGGGAACGGAGACATGTAGGGCAACTGCAGCTATAATCAGACTCACTCCCTGTGGAACGCGCATGCGCACGCACACGCGTGCGCAGACGTATACTTTTCTCTCTCATACAATGTTGTGAACTATTTGATCCCTTCCCGATTTCTGCGCAGTATTTCTCACACATCAAACCAATTTTGATGTCACACACAGACAACCTAAGGAAATACTAAATTAAATTGGCATTTCTGAAACTCCTTTTTTGTATTTCCTTGGGTAGTCTCTGTGTGATATTCAAAATTGGGTTGTTGAACTGAAACCTTTATATGTGCTTGCCAGCTGTGAAGAAAAGTTTTGCCAGTGAAAGCTTAGGCTACAAATACCCTGCTGCATGCTGAGAGTGGCTGAGTTGTGATGTGTGTGTGTGTGTGTGTGTGTGTGTGTGTGTGTGTGTGTGTGTGTGTGTGTGTGTGTGTGTGTGTGTGTGTGTGTGTTTGTGTGTGTGTCAGGTGGACGATCGTTTTGCGGTCAACCGACAGACTTCTCCTGCCTTGCAGCATAAAGTCTCCAACCGGATCTCGGACCCGTCGCTACCCCCTCGTTCCGAGTCCTTCAGCAGCGGGAGCATCCAGCAGGCCAGGACCCCGCCCATGCACCGCTCCGTCGAACCGCAGGTGGGGTGCGCGTGCGACACGACTTGCGCAAAACACAATTCAATGGCGACTGTCAATCAAATAACGGACACGCCTCCTTAAATCCTGTCAGTCAAACGAGAGTCAGTCTAAATTGTCAACATTTGACACATGACACAATTGATTTGTCCCGACAAATAAACTGGGATTTATTTGTCCGCCCGAGTGTGACTGAATGAACTTGAGTGCTGCGTGAGATGCATGATTTTTTTCTCCTTTTTTCTCCTTCATCCCGACCACACGTCGGATTCCTCATCCTGCTCCTTCTTTCCCCTCTATATTCCTCTTGCACCACCTACATTTCCTCCCGTTCCCTCTTCCCTCCTCCACTTCCTTCTCCTGCTCGCCCTTCTCCTCTCCCACTGGTGCCGGTGCAGATGGCCCACCTGGTGCAGGTGAAGAGTCCGGGCCTGTCCGGCTCTCAGTCCCTCTACGACCCCCACGGGGTGTCGTCTTCATCTTCCGCCCTGTCGCCCTCCCCCTCGCGCCCTCCCATGCCCCGGCAGAACTCGGACCCCACCTCCGACACCCCTCCTCCCTTGCCTCTCGCACGTCTGGCGCCCCCTCTTGACAAGTTGGATCGCAGCACCTGGCTGCGGCAGGACGACGACATGCCCCCCAAGGTGTCTGATGCCGCCTCGTCTGCGCCTCCGCACGTGCGTGCTTTCTGATGTGTGCAGTGAACCCCCGCTTGATCGCCGCATCTCATCCGGTTGAGCTCAGTGCTGCCTTATGTGGTACAACATGGTACTGCGCTGTACTGTAAAAACAAAAGACAAACGATTGCTGAACCCTGGAGAACCCAAGAACCCTTTTCTTCTTTTGAAAATGATGAATTATACATTAAATGACTACTACATGTTCACTGAACACAAACATATGTTTTTTCAAATATTCAATGCTTTAATTCTAATCTAGGATTAGGGCCAAATTTGACCCTTTGGGATTTAAGGGTAACGAAAGCCAAACGATTGCTGAACCCTGGAGAACCCAAGAACCTTTTTCTTCTTTGGAAAATGATGAATTATACATTAAATGACTACTAGACGTTCACTGAACACAAACATATGTTTTTTTCAAATATTCAATGCTTTAATTTTAATCTAGGATTAGGGCCAAATTTGACCCTTTGGGATTTAAGGGTAGCATTTGAGTAGCAGAATTTATAGGTGCCATATGAGACACCGTGGGTTCTCCTGGGTTAAAATGGTGACAAAGCAGGAACGTGATGGATGAATCGTCATCTAGTGGGGGTTCAGTTCATTTAGGTATGCTCTGTATGCGTGCGTGTGTGCGTGGGCCCAAAACACTTCACACATCATTTCAAAGTCATCTTATTCCAGGGTTCACTCAATTTGAGGTGAGTATGTATGTGACCTTCCTAACGTGTCTCCCGCAGGTTCCTCAGAGGACCACGTCAATCTCTCCCGCCCTGGTCAGAAAGAACTCTCCAGGAAACGGACCTGGACTCGGACCGCGGGCTGGAGCTCACCTCATACGGGCCAGGTAGACAAAACGCTCACTTCTGGGCACGCGTACAACATTCTGTTCTGGAAACTTGTTTATTTGGTTGCCATAGCAACCCTGACCTGCGGAGGACTGACATTAGCATGGATCCGTCCCTGAAGAGGACAAGCAGTGGTAGCTCCTCCAGCTCCAGCACCCCAAGTTCGCAGGGGGGATCCAACGAGCGAGGTGCTCACCCAAACAAATGCAGACACACACACATACACACACTTGAGTCAAAATGCTTGAAAATAGCTTCCATGATGGGGAAACAGCTGGCAGTCAATGAGTTTAGTGGTCTGAAAATCTTTATTTGAGCTCTGTCATACAATTCGCTAGCTTAACTGCGATAAAAATGACCAAAAAAAAGCAACAGAAACATTATAGGTAGATGGATAGATGCATTTTTGAGACCGATAGTGGTCTGAAAATCTTTATTTGAGCTCTGTCATAGCTTAATGGCGGTAAAAATGACCAAAAAAAAAGCAACAGAAACATGATAGGTAGATGGATAGATGCATTTTTGAGACCGATACAGATTCCAATATTTGGCACAATAAAATTTCATGAATTGGCCAATGAATTAAAAAAAAAATACAATTAAGATTCAGCGCATATATCATTGGAGAATCGTCTTGATTGGTGTGTTCAGAAAACGCAGCCATGAACCCCGAAGGTCCCGCCGTGGCACCTGAC